TGTTACGTTCCCATGGAATAGGCGCGCGTTTACGAGTTCTATTCCCGCCAGCGGGAACTGGCCTCATTGGCCCACCATGGTTCAAATCCCTTTATTATGCTATACCTGTGTATTGGTAGTCATTCCTAACAATGTCCTTGTTCCTGTCTGAACCATCGCTTTGAAATAAACCTTGCTTTGAATCAAACGTGGAGTTATTTCGAATGCCTGGGGATCCAACATTGGGGAACGGCGGCGGCAGCAGCAGCAGAGACACAGAGAGAGAGAGAGAGAGAGTCCTTGGCTGGCCTCGTGCCAGGGCTGCTTGCAAAGATGAGGAGAGGCTGGGCAGCCAGCCGGCCAGCCCTTCTCTCTCCACTTCTGCCTGCTGGGGTCAGTCCTCCCTGGGGCTGCTGACAGAGCAGGCAGGCAGGGTGCCAGGACCCAGCGCCGAAGGCCGGGTGCGGGAGAAACAGGTATATGTGTCTGTCTGTGAGGCGCGGGGGTGGGTTGCGAAGTCACGAGTTCCTTGCTAGGGAAGGTCCTCAGGTCCTCCAAGAGCACAGGGTCAGTGGTGCATGTGTGAGGTGGGGGTTGCCAACTCTGACTTGGGAAACTCCTTGAGATTTGGGGGGTACAGCCTTGGACGGATGGGATATGGGGAAGGGGCTTAGTAGGGATGTGGTGCTATAGAGTCCACCCTCCAAAGCAGTGAAACCGAATGAAGTTTTAGACAGGTATGATTCAGCCAAACTGGAATTGCTGAGCTGCAGAATGCAAAGGCAGGAGGAACAAGGGCCAAGGCAAGGCAGCACTATAGGCCTTTTTTTCAACATCAGGACTGTGAAACATCAGGAGTTTTTTGCAAAAAATAATAATATGGAGAACAAAGTCTGAGTCCAGTGGCACCTTTAAGACCAACAACGTTTTGTTCACCGTATAAGCTTGTGTGTGTATGCGCACACCAGGGCCTGCACCAGGGCACACACCAGGGCCCGCAACAAACCAAGATGCCAGCTCTGTTCCCATATTCACTCTGATACCACAATCAGCAAACCTAACAATACCAACCATACCATCTCAAGTTCATTCACTTGTTCAAGATGTCATCGTCCACCTGTACACTGCATTGGTCAGGCCATCCCTGGAGTACTGCGTGCAGTTCTGGAGACCTCACTTCAAAAGAGATGTGGACAGAATGGAGCGGGCATAGAGGAGAGTGACGAGGAGGATTGGGGGCCTGGAGACCAAGCCCTATGAGGAACGGCTGAGGGACTTGGGAATGCTTAGTCTGGAGAAGAGGAGGTTGGGGACATGATTGCTCTCTCAAAGTAATTTCTGCATCCATTTGACATACATGTTTTAACGGAAGCTGCAGCTGGTGCAAAATGCGGTGGCCAGGCTGTTGATGGGTCTCACTATGCAGGAACACATCCAGCCTGTACTAAAGGCATTGTACTGGCTGCCAATAGCGTTCTGGATTCGCTTCAAGGTGCTGGTTTTGACCTTTAAAGCCTTTTATGGTCAGGGGCCTGCCTACCTGAGGGACCGCCTTTCCCCGCATGTTCCTCAGAGAGCACTGCAATCAGGAACACAAAACCGCCTGGCCCTCCCTGGTCCAAAGGAAGCCAGATTGACATCGACTAGGACCAGGGCACTTTCTTTAGTAGCGCCGGCTTACTGGAACGGGCTCCCTGGGGAGATCAGGGCCCTGTGGGACCTCTCACAGTTCCGCAGGGCCGTGATAATGGAGCTTTTCCGGCAGGCATTCCGATAACCTCTGGGCCGACCTAGAGCTGAAGCTTTCCAGAGCAGTAGTACAGTTGACAGCATGTGAACGCACTTTACTCAGAGAACTGCCATCAATAATAATGGTTTTAAATTGTATTATGCAGTGTTTTAGATATTTTTGTATTGAATATATATTGTTTTATGTGAGCCGCCCTGAGCTTGCTTTGGTGGGGAGGGCGGGGTAAAAGTCGAAATAATAAATAAATAAATAACTTGTTCTGTCTCTGTGTCATATTGGAGTTGTTGTTGTTGTTCAGTCGCACAGTCGAGTCCGACTCTTCGCGACCCCATGGACCAGATTACGCCAGGCCCTCCTGTCTTCCGCCGTCCTCTGAAGTTTGCTCAATTTCATGTTCGTTGCATCTATGACACTGTCTAACCATCTCATCCTTTGCCGTCCCTGTCTCCAGAATTTCAGGTGGGAGACGGCGGACCATCACTTCCTTGAGTGCCTCAGGGAACTGCCCCTCACAGAGGGACTGATTGATAATCTCCCTTAAGGCACCTCGAAACCCCTGGTGGCCCGCTGTAATGAGCCAAGAAGGGCACGGGTCAAGGCTGCATGTGGTGGGCACACAGATATGAGCAATCTGTCCACTTCCTTCAGGCTGAGTGGGCTAAAGCAGTGAACAATTGAACAATGAAGAAAGCTGACAGGAAGAAAGTTGATTCATTTGAAATGTGGTTTTAGAGGAGTGTTTTATGGATACTGTGAACCATCAAAAAGACAAATAAGTGGGCTCTAGATCAGGGGTGTCGAACTCATTCTGACATAAATGAGACCTTGTTGGGCCGGGCCATGTGCGTCATAAAATGTAATGCCAGGTAGCGGAGATATCAACTTTATAAAGTACACAAACACAAAGATTTTTTTTTTACTTAAAATAAAAACATGCTTAGCTCTGTAAGCTGCAAACCTACTTTTGATTTATTGACCTTAACCACAGAAATCTCATGCTCAGAGTTCTGAGTCTAGGACCCAGGTTAAAACATGAAATGGCTGAGTGATTAAGAGAGTCTGGTGAAGCAAGCTATGATGCAGCAGCAGCAGCAGAACTGGAAGCAGGAGATGGCCAGTTCCACAGTGGGCCAGATGGAAGCCCTCCGGGGGCCTGATCTGGCCCCTGGGCCGCATGTGTGACACCCCTGCTCTAGATCAACGCAAGCCTGGACTCTTCCTAGAAGCTAAAATGACTCAGCTGAGGCTATCATGCTTTGGTCACACTTGAGGAGACAAGAGTCACTGAAAAAGACAACAATGCTAGGAAAAGTGGAAAGCAGCAGGGAAAAGACAGACCCAACAAGAGATGAATTGATTCAATGAAGAAAGCCATGGCCCTTAGTTTCCAAGAACTGAGCAAGGCTATTTACCATAGGATTTTTGGAGGTAATTAATTCATAGAGTGGCCATACGTCAGACGCAACTTGACGGCACTGAACTCACAACACACCTCAGAGTGCTTGGTCATCTGAATCCCATTTGCTTAATAATTCTGTATAAAAGATTACGTTAATTTACATGTAATAAAAATAGAAAGGATGACGAAAGAGAGGAGTGTGTCCCCAGTCACCATCTGCTTGGCATACAGAAGGTCCTAGGTTAAATCCCCGGTATCTCCAGGTTGAAAAAAGGATTAGGTGGTAGGTAATGTGAAAGATTTCTGCTAGACACTTGGGGGGGGGGGAGCTGCCAATGAGAACAGAAAATACCGTCCTTAAGAGACCTATGATCTGACTCAGTATAAGGAATTCATGTGTGCTAGTGGGTGGCTAAGAAGGAATGTGATCTTGTCAGGTTTAAGTCAGCCCCCCCTCCCCGCCCACACGCACTGACTGGAAACAAGGGAAGATGCAACACAGAAAGGGGGGGGGGGACACACAGACAAAAGAGAATGCTTAATTTCCAGGACAGCTTTGTTCTGCTGACTCATTCAGTGAGCTGCAGTCTTCTATTAATCTATTCATCAGATGATAAAAGCAATAGAACAGCTCAAACAGGTTCCAGAATTAGTAGAACAGGTGAGCAAACCCCGCGGCCCAAGTGATTTATGAAGCAGTTTTCTTCTTTGAAAAACAGCCGTGTTTAAGCTACACTGGTAATTAAATATATTCTGTTTTCTGTCGCTGGCACTCACTTGTAAGTAGATGTACGTTTAGCTCAACTTGGATGTTGTGTTGATTCAAAGACACCTTTAATGTACGAAAACAAGAAAACCAGCAGACACAATTGTTATTGGTTTTTCTATGTACATCAAAACAAACAAGACCCAAAGTCGAAATGTCAAGTCATGATGATGTCCAGATTTCAAGTTCAGCAGTGTCTCAGAGCTACTTTATGGGGTTTGGGAGACTGGCACACAGAGTGCTAAAGATCATGACTATGGGTTGGATCCAACCGGCTTTTTCACTGGTGATGAAGGGGTCCATTGTGACCACCCCAAAGTCTATGCTGGGGATCATGAGACCTGCATGGACAAAACCCACATGGGATGAAATGGTAGCGAAGAAGAAGAGAAGGAGAAGAAGAAGAGAAGAAGAGATTAGATTTATACCCCGCCCTTCACTACCCGAAGGTGTCTCAGAGCGGCTTACAAACTCCTTTCCCTCCCCCTCCCCACAACAGACACCCTGTGAGGTAGGTGGGGCTGAGAGAGCTCTGACAGAAACTGCTCTTTTTCAAGAACAGCTCTTATCAGAACTACGGCTTGCCCAAGGTCATCCAGCCAGGTTCAAGTGGAGGAGTGGGGAATCCAACCCGGTTCTCCCAGATTAGAGTTTGCGCACTTAACCACTACACCAAACAAGAGGAGAAGTTTGGATTTATACCTATTTATAGCACCCTTCACTCAATCTCCTTTCCCTTCCCCTCCCCACACAGACACCCTGTGAGGTAGGTGGGGCTGAGAGAGCTCTGACAGAACTGTTCTTGAGAGAACAGCCCTGACAGAACTTGTGACTGACCCAAGGTCTCACCAGCAGCTGCATGTGGAGGAGTGGGGAATCAAAACCCGGTTCTCTCAGATTAGAGTCCGCGCTCTTAGCCACTACACCAAACTGACTCTCTAGAAAGGAAATCTGGAGTCTGACAGAGTGAAAAAAAACTGGCTGGCTTTAACCCTGTGAACTGATTCCTCTAAAGCTGTTGCCACGAAAGGTCTTCAGCAGGCAGGAAGCTGCAGAAAAGACTAAGGATGCACATATGGGAGCTAAGCAAGACAAAGAGTTGAATCTTAAGAATGTGGCAGAGCACAGCACTTGTAAGGTGCTGAAGGCCTCGAAAACCCAACCAGTGGTGTCAAATCCAGGTCTTCTTTAGACGTTCCAGGGGCAGGTTGGAAAGTGAATCTCTGCAGGAGACTTGTAAAGAACAAGAAGAGCTCCATTTTGGCCAGGTTTTCCCCCACACACATTCTCCGACCTGCAACAATTTGAGACGGAAGTCCAGTTTAATCAATTTCTTTATGAAGTTCTTCAGCTGCCCATGAAATACCACCCGAAAGAGCTTGCCACGAAAAAAATGAAAGCAGACAGTGCCATCCTAGGCAGGTCCACTCAGAACCCTACTCAATCTTTTATTCAGTGGTATGTACTCCCAAGGCAGAGTTCTCAGGAATAGCTCATTAGGCACACTATAATAATTATTGGCAGGGCTTTTTTTTTTTTTTTTTTAAGGTGCCGGAACTCTCAAGAGGAACATGAAGTTTTCAATCTGTACACTGAAAACTCATGAACGTTTAAGCATTTTTGAAAGAATATTGTCAAAGAGGTTCTGGAACTCTGTTCCAGCGCGTTCCCACCGGGAAAAAGCCCTGATAATTATTGAGAGAGAACACTATTTCTGAAAGTCTGATGAACTCCCAGTGAAAGTTAGAATATGAGTCCCAAAAGGGCATGGAGAGAATTGTTGCAGTGCTGAATGACAAGCGCAAGCGTTTGGTTTTGCAAAATGAGAAATGGCCCCCTGTGGTGGCATTCTTCCAAGTAAACGTACTTAGGACTTGGGCACCCCAGCCATTAATTAAGCCACGGTGGCTCAATGTTTAAGACACTTAGCTGCAGACCGGAAGGTCGGTAGCTTGGCAATTCGAGACCTGAGTGCCGCATGACAGAGTGAGCTCTTGTCTCTGGCCCCACCTCCTGCCAACCTAGCAGTTCAAAAGCAAGAAGCTACAAGTAGATAAATAGGTACTGCTTCGGTGGGAAGATAACAGTGTTCCGTGCGCCTCAGCGTTTAGTCAATTTATTTATTTATATTATATTATTTATTATTCTGGCCACATGACCATGGAAACATCTTTGGACAGCGCTGGCTCTCCAGCTTGGAAGCGGAGGTGAGCACCGCCCCCTAGAGTCAGATTCGACTGGCTTTCGAGCAAGGGAAACCTCTACTTTTACCTTTATATCTAGAAGCAGATACCTGCAGAGAAAGGCATGAATGCGTCTCTCTTCACAAACTTTCCATCCGAGTCCAGAAAGTGCTCAGGGTAGAACTGATGTGGTTTCTCCCACTGAGTTTCATCTTGCAGCACGGAGCACAGTAACGGGAGGACGTAAGTTCCCTGCAAAGTCAAAGCGATGAGTTATTTGAGGGGGAGGGGGGATGAAGATAGCTTCAGAACCATGTTGGTCTGCAGTAGACAAGCTAGATTCAAGTCCAGTAGCCACCCAGAGACTAACAAGATTGACTAGGTATAAGCTTTTGAGAATCAAAGCTCCCTCAATTAAATCTGACAAAGGAACCCTTCAAACAAAGAAATTAGCAGCCCCACCCCCATAATGACCTATGTGGGAACTCAAGTGCCAGATTGGACTTGGATAAAGAACACTGAAAAGGTAAGAAAAAAATTGGCATGAGCCAACCACAGCTAGCTGTGCTTAACGTTCACAGAATTTCAACCAAAAAGCCAAGGAAGTGCTTCCACTGAAATCAATGGGATTTAGCCTGGCTTAACTTAATCCCCCAAAATATTTGCAAAGAGGTTCTTCTGACGAGTAAATGAATAGAAGAGAGGAGATTGGATTTATACCCCACCCTTCACTACCCAAAGGAGTCTCAGAGCAGCTCACAATCTCCCTTCCCTTCCCCAAAAAAGACACCCTGTGAGGTAGGTGGGGCTGAGAGAGCTCTGAGAGAACAGTTCTGAGAGAACTATGGCTTGCCTTGCCCGAAGTCACCCAGCAGCTCCATGTGAAGGAGTGGGGACTCAAACCTGGTTCTCCCATATTAGAGTCTGCTCTTCTAACCACTATGCCAAACATGCCATATTCAACTGAGCTAAGGTTGTAATGCAGTGAAGTAAGACTGATCACCTTGGGAATGAAGTAGCCTTTAAAAGTGACATCCATAGTGGTTGCGTGTGGTATGTTTGTAGGGACAATGTTAGCAAACCTCTGAATTTCATGCATTACTGCATCCGTGTATGGCATTTTTGCACGGTGTTCTGTCCTTGGCTGAGCAGACCCAATCACCCGTGCAATTTCTTCTTGGACTTTGTCTGAGAAAATAAAACATTTCTTTTCACAAAAATAAAAGTCTCAATTTCAAGCCGAGTCCCTCAATAAGGGAAGAGTATGGGACAAAAACCTTTTTATAAAAGCATAACAGCTAGCTATATCTTCCTAATTACTGTTTTCACAACGGAAGTCATAAACAGCAAGCCGTTTCACACTGAAATGGAAGCATATACTACCTGAGCTACAAAGTGCTTTTACTACAACTACCAAAAATTAAGCCACACTGAGTTCGACCGTGTGCAAGGTCAGGCAGCACACGGTCAGCCAAGAAAGCCCTAGCTTCGCTTTACGAGACAGTAGCCAGAGGAGATCCTAAAACTGCTCCTATCAGGGGGCTAGGATCCGTGAAGGACCCATGGAACTCTTGCCACTGTAAATAATCCTATCACGGGTGTGGGGTGTGTGTTGGGTGTGCTTTGCCTTAGGGATATAAGCTGGCCTGCGAGCCGGCAGTCTTTGTCTTGTTTCTGAACCCTAAATAAAGTATGAGCTGATTTCACTCAACGACGCATCAGTCTCAGTACTTTACACACAGCATTATTTGTTTTCATCTCTTAGTAAGCAAGAAGACTTATAGTAAGCCAAGGAAAAATCAATTCACCTCTCAGATCTGGTAATTCTGAGCAATCCCAAAGAATATGATCTACGGAGTCAATTTGGTTAGTATCACATCCACAGACTCTATTAGAGTATGGAATGCCATGAAACCTTCCTAACAACACCACTGATAGCAAGGCATTCAAGCTGAAGTGCCCTTCTATACTTTGAAAGAGATCATTCAAACAGGGAGTTTGTCATTTTTATCAGGAAAAATACCAGCAGAAAAGGATGAACATACTCTGCGAGCTCTAAGCAGCATACACTTATAACCAAGATCCTTCAAAGGTCTTTTAATTGGCTGACTCAATTCATAACTACTCACAGTTTCCATCATATCATTGGTGATGCTCAGACGTAACAATTTAAATTCCAGTATTTGTCCCAATCACTTGTATAATGATCCAGCATAACTAATTCAAGAAGACCTGATTCTAAATTCAGTTTCAACATTTTCGACACCAACAAGCGCTTAGGTCACTGACATAGAAATTAAATAACAGAGGAGTGGGGTACCAGTACATTCTTGTTTCACTCCTTTGCTCAATACAATAGCTCTCTAGGCATAGCCAACTTGTGGCAATCCTATAGGGTTTTAAAACCAAGAGACAAAACTGAGTTGGTTGGCCATTGCCTGCTTTTGTGGAGCAAGTCAGGACTTGGAGGTCTCCCCTCCAAGTACTAACCAAGCTGGCTCAGCTTAGCTTCTGAGATCTAACCAGATCAGGCCAGCCCGAGCCATTCAGGTCAGGCTGAAGATATGCTAGGATAATGGAAACCAACCGATGGAAAACACTCACTCTGAATTTCAGGGTACTTTATCATTAACAGGAGGCCCCAGCGTAGCGTCTCTGAAGTGGTCTCTGTGCCAGCAGCAAATAAGTTGCCCACCAGCATCTTAAGGTTTTCATTATGGAAAAACCCATCTGTCCTGTTCTTCTCCTACGGGGATAAAAAGAAAGTAATGATTAATATTAAATGATTGTTTTGAATACCAAGAGGGCCCTGGGGACTTCACAGCGTTGACGGGAATAAAAAGAAATAATGGGAAAATATCTCTGAAATACGCAATAGTAGACCATGGTTCTCGGCCTTTTGGCTAAGATCAAGTGTAGCAATAGTAGACCATGGTTCGAGACCCGGGTGCCGCATGGCGGAGTGAGCTCCCGTCTCTAGTTCCAGCTCCTGCCGACCTAGCAGTTCGAAAGCAAGAAATTGCAAGTAGATAAATAGGTACCACTTCGGTGGGAAGGTAACAGTGTTCTTTGTGCCTTGGTGTTTATTCATGCCAGCCACATGACCACTGAAACATCTTCGGACAGCACTGGCTCTTCAGCTTTGAAACGGAGATGAGCACCGCAACCCTAGAGTCGGATTCGACTGGCTTTCAAGCAAGGGAACCTTTACCTTTTTAGACCATGGTTGCAGGTAACCACATTGATCCAATAGAGGTATTTGCTTGACTTTTTATTCTAAGTATAGAGTTAATGGTTTTAGTTGTTTAGGGCAAAACTTTGCAGTGTCTGGGTCAACAAGGGCTTTAGTTTCTTATCTGTAGAGAACCCTTGGGTAACGTTGAATAAGCTTAGGTTAAATAAACATTTAAGATATCATGTAGTCACGCCTTTTGCTGTAACTGACCAATGAATGGATGCCTACTCAAATGATGCTCTGCCATTTGTAACCAACTATAATTTTTGTATGTAATCTTTGGCCTATGTCATTTTGGGTATAAAACTTCATGCACTTCCTTATATTGTTCAGAAAGCAGTTAATTCTTGACAGGCAATTTTGGCCTAACTGTTTTCTGGTATTTCTTGCAATAAAATACCTAAAAGAACTTTCTCCTCATTGAGACGTCATACGTGTGTTCTTTTTTTTTTTTTTTTTGGCGTGGGAACATACCTTTGTGGAACAGGAGAAAAGCAGGGTATGAATATCTAAATTGGGGTCCCTAATGTGGTCATTTTGGGTAAGTGTTTTTAGAACATGGGCCCAAGTGTTTTTAGAACATGGGCAGAGCCAGGCGGGGCTTGTGCCAAGCAGGGCTCCTGACTGGCTGTGCCAGAGTCAAGGGCATCCTGTTATGCAGAGTTTCAGCCTTAAATGTTGAAGCGTTACTATGGCAGCTATTCATCACCTCACTCCCTGAAATTCTGGGGTTGGCCCTGGCTCCTCTGGCAGCCATTTTGTGGCTGTGCTCACCACTCTGTGTCAGAATTCCAAAGCTGCCCAACAGGCTAAAAAAGACTGGGGATCCCTGATCTAAATAAATGTTGCTGAGAGTTTCATTCTGGGAACTCCTGAAGTCACATCAGGATTGGCTCAAGTCTCTGCCCCAGATGACAATAGTAGCATTGCCTGCAATGAGGAAATGAGAAGGACACACATGGATGCTTGAGGAGGCTGCCCAACAGGCTAAAAAAGACTGGGGATCCCTGATCTAAATAAATGTTGCTGAGAGTTTCATTCTGGGAACTCCTGAAGTCACATCAGGATTGGCTCAAGTCTCTGCCCCAGATGACAATAGTAGCATTGCCTGCAATGAGGAAATGAGAAGGACACACATGGATGCTTGAGGAGGCTGGTCTAACTGGGAAGGAGGAGGAGGAGGATTTATACCCTGCCCTTCACTTGGAGTCGCAGCGGTCACACACACTAAATAATCCACTTTCAATGCACTTTCCAACTGGATTTTGCCAGTTCACACTGAAAGTGGATTGAAAGTGTATGTGACTGCAGCCTCAGAGGGGCTTACAATCTCCTTACCCCCTCTCCCCACAACAGACACCTTGTGAGGTAGGTGGAGCCGAGAGAGCTCTGAGAGAACTGCACTTGCGAGAATAGCTCTCAGAGAATTGTGACTGACCTAAGGTCACCCAGCTGGCTTCATGTGGAGGAGTGGGGAATCAAACCCGGTTCTCCAGGAGAGCTTCCAGTTTTGGCAAATCAATGGCGGATGTGTCTCTCGGGTGCTCCCGAGGACATGATCCAGAACCAGTGGATTGAGAGGGGGTGTGATCGTACGCACACACCCCCGGGGCCCTTGCAAAGGGCTCCTAGCCATGGGGCGCTGAGGGTCGCCTCTCCGCTGGCATGTTGCCAGGGGATTGAGGTGATGCCCCAACGGTCTTGCCACTGTGTTTCCCACTTTGGGACTAAGAGACGCACACCAGGACAAGCGAGTGGAGGTCAAGCGCCTTACATATTTGAAAGGTGAGATCTACATGATCGACATTAAAAGTGAGTCTGGTTGAAACGAGCACCAGAAAACCAGCCGAAAATCCCCCTTAGACTAAGCGGGGAGGCGGGAACACCCCTCCCGAAGTAAAATGGACTTTAAGCATGATTGTTTAAGGGGGATGGACTGAAAAGCGATATGGCACTAAAGTAAGGAACTTACAAGAGATTTCCAAGCTGTTTGCAGACTTTAGAGACTTTTGGCAAAATTGAGCAAATGTAAACATCCTCAAAGATGTCGCACAAAAAGACGGAGAAGGATGAGCTTCCGAAACCTAAGCCTCCTTCAGGAAGTGCGAGCCCAGCGAGTGCAGTCACGCAACCAGACACAACCATAGACTTTTCAAAAATGTTAACAGATGCATTGCGACCCCTGCTGGAGCAAATGAAGACGCTCAACGAAAACTTCACTGCACAGCAACAACAACTAAATGAGACTGTTAAAAAAACAGAGCAGACAGCAGAGAATGTGAAAGAAGTGGATGCCACTACTAAAAAGCTTAAAAACAAATGCAAGAGATGGAAAAGAAGAGAAACTCTGATGAAGCACAATTATTACAACTTCAAATGGAAAAGGCAAGATTTATTCTGAGGTTTCAGGGGGTTCCTTAAAATAAAGGTGAGAATCTCAAACAGATTATGGCTGATGTTCTGGGTTCGGTTGCAGATTTAAAAGTGGATTTCCTTTTAAGTGAAATGGATGTGATCTACAGGTCATATTCAGAATTTATAAAGAAAAATAATCTGCCTGGAGAGGTGGTGGTGAGGTTCTCCAGAAGACAAGTGAGGGACCAGATCCTAAAAGCAACAAGTGGAACTGCCCTTAAAATCGATGGCAATGAGATAAAAGTTATCAAAGACATTCCCTTTGAAATAAGGAAAAAGAGGAATAAATACAGAGACTTGCCGTTGTTTTTACAAAAGAATAACATCTCTTACAAATGGATTTTACCAGAAGGATTACTCTTCAAATATAAAGACAAGAAGGAAAAAATTGACTCTGTTATGAAAGCACAAGAGTTCTTACGACAACAACTGGGACCAGTGGGAGAAGACGATGAGGATAAAGGAACGGATGATGAATCACCTACTGGAGAAGGCTCGGACTTGGAACTTGGGTGGTGGCCCCTAAGCAAGGATATCAATTGAGGGAAAGAAGATATAAAAAACGAGATGCTGATTCTCTCTGAAGTTTGCCTCTAACTTAACAATTGACTTTTGTGTTGAACCTTACTGAGTCAGATTATCTGGACTCGAAATATATAAGCTTTTTTTAATTGATCACTTGCAATTTAACCTTATATAATGAAAGCAATTATAATGTAGTACCTCCACCCCTTGGGTTTTTAGTGGTTATGCTTTACTTTCTCCCATAGTTTGTAGTTTCCCCAACCTGGTTTTTTCTTGTAGTTTTCAGAAAATAAAAAAAATTATAAAACAACAACACAAAACTCAGTTCTCCAGATTAGAGTCTGCTGCTCTTAACCACTATACCACACTGGCTCTCAAAGGAAGTCAAAGGATGGCAGGAGGGAGTGAGAGTACAAGACACATGAGCCTTTGTCCAGGCATCCCCTCCCCCCAGTATCCACCCTACATGTAAAATGTACAGAATTTGCCTTTTTACCTGTGGGTCACATGTGACCTACACAGACAGTTCTGGTCACATATCAGCGAATGCTGAAAATAACAAAATCCCTGCTAGTTTGATGGAATGTTCTTTTCCAAAGTTAGAGGACTTGACAATGAGTCATGCATTCGAACACAAAATATATACTTAAAACCCAGATGTTCAGATTTCGCCTGCAGCTACTAATACATTTAAAAGACGGTGTCACCTCTTGCTGCCGGATAAGGAATGAATCGATCAGGCTTCTCTGGTCGTTTTCATCCAGTTCCTTGAGGTGCTCTATGAAGGTGGCCTTTATGAAGGCGAACAGTTCGTCTCGGTTATTCAGGACCATCTTACGAGTCCAAAAAAGGAAGCCCAGACTGGGAAACATGTTATACAGCTGAAAGAATAAAACACGAGCAAAACAAATGATTAGCAACGCTTCTCAGGCAGAAATCGAAAAGCGTTTTTACTAAAATAGCTTTTTTCATTTTCTGCGAAAGAGTAAACCAGTGACACATAAGAACAGCATATTCAGCCTGGGACTGGGCTTGGGAAATGCTCCGGGACCCAGCAGGCTTGGTCCGCACACATGTGGGGGCTTCTCTCAGTGCCTGCTGTACAAATGAACGAGACACCTGAAGCAGAGCTAGATCTGAGTCCCGTATCATTTCAGAGACCAACAAGATTTTTGGAGTATAGGCTTCTGAGAATCAAAACGCCCTTTTGTCAGATATCTGATGAAAAGCCCAGAGTCAAGGCACAGTTCAAATTGCTGGAGGATCAGAGAGAGGTGACAGATTATTCGGGCACAGGAGAATAAAAGTCAGGGGCAGGGGCAGAAACTAGGATCTGTGGGGAGAGTCCACGGCCAAAGAGAAATACAGTCAAGAGCAGGCATGGAGTCAGAGTCTACCAAGAAGAAAAGGTCGAGTAGGAGGTCAAACAGGCAGAGATGAACGCAGGGTTAACACACTCTTCACATCTCCCTCCCTGCAGGGCTCTTTTTGTAGCAGGAGCTCCTTTGCATATTAGGCGACACCCCCCTAATGTAGCCAATCCTCCAAGAGCTTACAGAGCTCTCCTTACAGGGGCTACTGTAAGCTCTTGGAGGATTGGCTACATTAGGGGCGTGTCGCCTAATATGCAAAGGAGTTCCTGCTACAAAAAGAGCCCGGCCCTCCCTCTCCAGCGTCAGAGCACCTAAGACGTAATACTTAGAGGTAAAGCTGGGGAGACAACAGGAATCTGCTGACACTGCTCCAAATCCAGAAGAAGTTAATATATACCTGATCTCCCTCCCCCCCACACTCCAGTTTCTTCAGATGAAATGATGCTAGGGTTGTTTTCTGCCCCATCGGAGGGCGCCTCCTGGTGCTGTTTCTGCTTGGGAAAACAGTGCAGGAGGGAGGCGAGAACCTCTTTCCCCTCCGTGCTGTGGTCCCGAGCCAAATCGGGCCCCTGTGGCACTGCTGAAAGGAGTTCCCATTGAGAACGTCTAGCTTTGAGAACTTCTGGCTTCAGTTTGGTGGTCAGGCCTTGTAGTGGACTTGCAGATGCCGTAACATCTAGTTCATCCTAAGACAGGAAGCAAGGCAGGAAGGCAGGGAAAGTAGAACAGACACCACGAGGGAGGTATAGGTGGTGAGGGCACTGAACCCCTACTGCTTGGGAAAACAGTGCAGGAGGGAGGCGAGAACCTCTTTCCCCTCCGTGCTGTGGTCCCGAGCCAAATCGGGCCCCTGTGGCACTGCTGAAAGGAGTTCCCATTGAGAACGTCTAGCTTCAGTTTGGTGGTCAGTCCTTGCGGTGGACTTGCAGATGCCGTAACATCTAGTTCATTCTAAGACAGGAAGGAGGGAGGGAGGGAGACAGGGAAAGTAGAATGGACATCAGCCACGGGGGAGGTATAGGCAGTAAGGCCACTGAACCCCTACCCTCTGAGCACCAGAACGAGGGTTGCCAACTCCAGGCTGAAAATTCCTGGAGATTTGGGGGTGGAGCCATGGGAGGGTGGGATTTGGGAACAGAATGAGCTCAGCAGGGATGCAATGCCATAGTAGACTCCACCCTCCAAAGCAGCCGTTTTCTCCAAGGGAACTGATTTCTGTTCTCTGGAGGTTGGCAACCCCAACCAGAACTGCAAATACTTCTTTAACAGATTTTAAAATGGAAGTTACCTGGACTGAAGGGCTTCCAAAAAGCCGGGCATTTTCATTGAACAATCTCAGCAGCCTTAGAAACGTGGGATCTTCATATTCAAATCGTTTGGCGAGTAATATCGACACTATGATATTGGCGACGGCACCGTTCATGAGTCCAGTGGTCTCAATTGGTTCTCCTACACCCATAAACAAATCGGAGAATATCTAATTAGGAAAGAGCCTCACTATTGCCATGGCCTTTCACTGGCTTACGGCCCCAGGCAGAGCGGGCGCTCCTGCTCACTTGGATGATAAGGGGAGAACAGGAATAAAACCTCATCTAAGACCACGAGTGGCGTTCTTTCCTGCCGCAGAGCTAGTTCTGTTTTTCCCTGTCCTTTCCTTGCCCTACTGACAGCTCAGACTCCAGCTTTGATTTTTGCATTCCCCGTACTTTGGGCAGCCATTCTGAAATCTTTTTAAACAGCATATTTATTCCATGGGAATGGCTGTTTGGGAGCCCTACTTGTCAGCCTCTTCCTTCTTTTTCAGGAGTCTTTTCTCCAAGCTAAAGAGCCCTAAGCTTCTGCTTTCACCATTAGAAACTGATGATGTGGTGTTAGATTTAAGAATTTAAGAACATAAGAGACAGCCCTACTGGATCAGACCATTGGCCCATCTTGTCTCTCACAGGGGCCAACCAGTTCCTCTGGAGGGCCAACAACAGGGCACAGAGTTACCTTCTGGCTCTGGGATTCAGAGGCTGACTGCATCTGAATGTGGAGGTTCTCCTCAATCACCCTGACAAGTAGCCACTGATGGAGCCACCCTCCAATAATCTAATCCCCCTTTAAAACTGTTTATTCCTGTGGCCATCACTCCATCCTCTGGCAGCAAATTCCACATTTTAATCACTTTCTGTGTAAAGAAGTATTTCCTTTTGTCTGTCCTGAAAATATTGCCCATCCGCTTCATTGGATGCCCTCAAGTTCTAGTATACTTGAGACTGGTCAGGCTAAGAAATGTTAATTTAATATATGGATTAGGTAATTATACAACAAGCATTCTTATACCTACACACTGATGGCTTTAACAAGGTTAATGTTAATGTACTCAGAAAATTTTACGCCACCCAAGGTGGCTTACAGAATAAAACATAGTAAAAACATCAAAAATTATTAATTAAAAACCCAACATTAAAAAAAAACAACCACCACCAAATTTTCAGAACATCGATAATTGAGTAGCTTAACATGAAAAGTTTTCAGACTTTATACACTATAAAGATAGTGTTAAAAGATCAGCTCCTTAATTAAAAGCCTGGGTAAACAGAAATGTGTCCCAGTCCCTAAAAGAGATTAACACAGCTCCTTGGGGATGGTGGGGGTGGGGGGAAGCTATACTGATAAATCATTAAAAATCAATTCGTTTTGCAGTGGAGATAGAGCAGAAAAGAAAACACCAACCCACCTTCGTGAGATTCAATTCTCTTTATCAGGAAACCACACTCCTCAATAATTCTGTCCTCAATGGTCTTCTTGCCCATCCCGTAGTCCCGTAAGGTGGTTAATGTGAACCGCCGCATCACTCTCCAGTTCTCACCACGGGCAAAAAGGATACCTGGATGAAAGCGAAGGCCAAATTTCAGGTTGGCACGGCACAAATGGGGATTCGAACTTGTGTCTCCCAGATACCAGTCCTACACGGTGTTCTCTCTAAGCTGAGAACAAAGTTAGCGTCCAGTGACACCTTTAAGACCAACAAACTTTTATTCAAGGTGTGAGCTTTCGTGTGCAAAGCACACTTCTTCAGACGATGAAATGGAATTACAGATCAATGGCCCCAGCCACACGGGCCGGATATCGCAGGGGGGAGGCGTGGCTAATTGCCCCAGCGCAGTTTGATTCACGATTACGTGATCAGACGCGCCGGTGGCACACCGCGGGTCCTCCCCTTGGAATGCCACGTGCCGGCGCGATCACACCACGGGGGTATGGAGGCAGCCCATGGCAAACGTTTACTAGTACCTTGGAGGTACTAGTTTTTTAACACGCATTGTCAGCGGTAAGCCACGGGTGCGCTCCACTTCCCAGATGTTGGGGTGTGATCGCGCCCGGATAATCCGC